GCGGAATTTTAAGTTTTTTGTCATTCAAGATATAGAGAAAGCCTCATTATTAGAGAATATATTTTTTTTAAATTCGAACCAACTGGGATTTTTATATTAATTAATTTGATAAAAAAAAAAAAAATATTTTTCTCTTTGTAAAAAGTAAATTTTTTTTTTAAAAATATAAAATTAAAATTCTTATTTCAAATAAATATATACCTTGGAAACGATATTTTCTAATCATACTTTCAATTTCGTGTTTCTATATATCACGTTTAATTTCACGTCCTGTAATTTACCTTGCAAACAATCGCGGAGTAGATTCTTTTTTTTTTTTTTGTCACTTCGCTTTCCAATTTTATTACGCTTTTATTCGCGCGCACGTAAATATATGCAACATTCCTAAATCAATAAAAATATATCTTAAATACTGTCATTTATTTTTATATTCTTTATATATTGAACAAAAGATATATATGATCATTCAACTGTGACTTATAAACTGATTAAATACAAAAAAAAAATAAATTGCAAAATTTAATTTTTACACTTTTTTTTCATTCAAACTTTTACATTTCAATTTCATTTTTCAATTTATATAAAATAATAATTTTTATCCGATTAAAAAAAACACACACACAAATTAAATTTTTACATTTTTCTTTTATAAATATTTCGTTTTCTGAATAAACAAAAAAATAATTTTTATCCGATTAAAAACAAAACAATTGACAACATTTAATTTTTACTTTAAATTTTATTTCATTTCCTGAATAAAAAAAAATAATTTTTTTATAAAAAAAAATGTTTTATTAAAAAGGTAATTTAAAATAATAATAATAAAAAAAATGGTGATTAATTAAGAAAAAGGGCCTTGCACTCTGACGATAATAGAGCACCTGCATTTGGAATCTTAGCGTGATAAGCTTTCAATCACAGTTGCACGTCATCATTCATTGACTAAAGGACGATGGCATAGTAGATAACTCTAATTACCTTAAGGCGCTTGTCGATTACGTTACCACAAACAAAGATAACGACAGCAATAAATACCAACGTTAACCACATGGTGTGAATGGCTTGACGATTGTGGTCTAACTAATTTGTCAATTTCAATGATTACCGCCATCAGGTGATTACGATATACACAGATCATTCATTACCGCGCGAGAGTTTCCAAGAATATATTTATATTTATATATATATGTAAACAAAAAAGTATTAATGAATTTTTTTTTCACTATTATTCAAAATTTTAAAAAATTTACTAAAATTGATTTTTTTTAAAACCAATTAGTAAAATTTAACTAAATTATAATAACGAAAAAAAATTAAGTCATCAATCCTAATTAATTTTTACTAATTCAAATTTGGAAAATTCGTTTTATTAAAAAAGAACGAATATATTATAATTATACAATAATAATTAAATAAATATATTATGTTCTCTCTAAATCTGAATTAGTAATAAAGTTTACTAATTTGAATTAGTGACTCACTTTTTGCTTCTGAATTAGTAAAATTTTACTAATTGTTAGTAAAAGTTACTAATAATTAGTAAAATTTTACTAATTTAGAAGCAAAAAGTGAGTTACTAATTCAAATTAGTAAACATTTTTACTAATTCAGATTTAGAGAGTTTCTACTAAATGCAAATTTATTTTTATTAATTTATAAGTAAACTTTAATTATAATAGAAAAAAAATTATATTCTAATTAATAAAAATTTTCATTTGGAAAATTTGCAAAATATTTTAAGCGAAAAAAAAAGATTTTATATTTATTTTATTATTATATAATAATCAAATTATTTTTTTTTACTAAATGCAAATTTGTTTTTACATAATTTATAAGTAAAAATTAACTAATTATAATAGGAAATAAATTATGTTTTCCTAATTAATATAAATTTTCACTTTTGGAAAATTTGCAAATATTTTAAGCAAAAAAAACAAAGATTTTACATTTATTTTATTATTATATAATAATAATTACATTATTTTCTTACTCTCTAAATCTGAATTAGTAAATAATTTTTACTAATTTGAATTAGTGACTTATTTTTTGCTTCTCAATTAGTAAAATTTTACTAATTATTAGTAATTTTTTCAAAAAATTAGTAAAATTTAACTAATTCTAAAGCAAAAAGTGAATCACTAAATTAAATTAGTAAACATTTTTACTAATTCAGATTTAGAGAATACTAAAAGCAAATTTTTTTTTTAGTAACTGGATAGTAAAATTTACCTAATTACAATAGCAAAAAAAATTAAGCTAACAATTCTAATTAATTAAAAATTTTACTAATTAAAATTTGTAAAATTCGCTAAAATTTGCTATAATTCTAAATACTCTCTAAATCTGAATTAGTAAAAATGTTTACTAATTTAAATTAGTAACTCACTTTTCGCTTTAGTATTAGTTAAATTTCACTAATTGTTACTAAAAGTTACTAATAATTAGTAGAATTTTTCTAATTGATAAGCAAAAAGTGAGTCATCAATTCAAATTAGTAAACTTTTTTACTAATTCAGAGTAAAAAACGATTTATACATATATAAAACCGTTTTTTTAATTATCAATTTATTAATTAGCAATTAGCAATAATAATTTTAATTATTTAGAATCAATAACTTAAAATTTTTGTTAAAATTAGTTAAATTTTACTAATCCCTACTACTCTCTAAATCTGAATTAGTAAAAATGTTTACTAATTTGAATTAGTGACTCACTTTTTGCTATTGAATTAGTTAAATTTTACTAATTGTTAGTAAAAGTTACTAATAATTAGTAAAATTTTACTAATTCAAAAGCAAAAAGTGAGTCACTAATTCAAATTAGTAAACATTTTTACTAATTCAGATTTAGAGAGTAAAGTATACAAAATCAATAGAAAAAACAAATATTTGCGATTTAGTACAAATAAAGATAAATTATCAATAATAATTTATTTAATCACTAAAATAATAATTAATTCATTTCCTCTTTCTAATGAAATAATTAATTTTTTTTTAATCAACTTCTTTTTAAAAAAATTTGCAATATACATTAAAAAACTTCTATATTTCAAATATTGTCCGCAGACTATTATATAAAACGCGATATGAAAAAAAAAGCAAAACAAAAATTTCGAGTTCAATGACCCCCCCCCCCTCCCCCTTGCGCGACGAAATAAAGTGGAAACGAGAAAATGAAACAATCGAACGAAAAAATAATAATAAAAAAAAAAACCTATAAGACGACTAAATAATTCATCAGACTCGATATTAGAATAAATCTACTTTAACGACTGGACGAGGGTGAAGGAGGGGGACAGGGGGGGAGGTGGATGGAAAGGAGGGGATTTTTTAATTCCCTTCTTTCGTTGATAAAAAGAGATTTATTCGTGGTTCGCGATTCAATGGCTCTGGGAGAGAGAAATAGAGAGAGAGAGAGAGAGAGAGCGGACAATACATTTGCACGCGGATACACGAGGCAAGCGAAAGGGAGAAGAAGAGAGAGAGAGAGAAGGGGGGGGAGGGTAAAAGAAGGGGTCGAGTTTTCTCCTCCTCTAAAATGAAATTGGTAAAAAATCAATTACGAATCTCGGAAAATTCTGGGAACGTACGTGTGCACGAGAAACGTGCACCAGATTATATTGGTATAGAGAAAGAGTGAGAGAGAGAGAGAAAAGCCGAGCATGTGAAAAAAAAAAAAAAACTTGGACAGAAGTGATAGATTCTATGCTATGATAAATATTACATACATATCACAGAAATGTAGACTCCGGGAATGAGTTAAAATTATATAGGAACGATCAAAAACTTTTTTTTTTCTTTTTCTTTTTTTTTTTTTTGAAGCAGGTGTGCGTGTACCGATGAGGCGTTACTCTCGAATTTCCACGAAGATGTCGTCGTTTCCGGAGTATCGACCGTGCGGCTTCCGAAGGAGCCCCACCTTTTGCTCCCTGGCCAAAGACGGTACTGATATCTTACCGACATATTTATGATTTATTTGCACCATATTAATTAATTTTAATATCCTAAAATTTAATTAGAAAAAAAAAGTTTAATTTAAAAAAATTAATAAAAATTTAATTTATCATTAAAAAAAATTATTTTTTTAATTTGAAAATATAATAATTATCTGAGCATGTAAATATTTGCGAAGAGAAATTTTTTAAAAACAAATACCAAGTTCTGAGATAAAAAAAATATTTTTTTTTAGAAAATGTTTTCTATTCGAATGACTATTATTATTTTTCATTTGAACTACTGTCTCGAAATGAAACGGTTTTTTTTAAAAAAAAAAAACTCCTGAGGGGATTTCTTTTTTTTCAAGACAGCAACTGTATTTATAAGGCAACGGACGTACTTCCAGTTGCGTGATCCAAAGTCACAACAGAACCGTTTAAGCTTTTGCGGTCATCAAACTCTGATTTTTGTTTGTTTCGTCTATCATCATCATCGTATTTGATGACGCAATCGAGGAACGAAAATGAGATACTTTTTTTTAAATTTAATATTAAAAAATCAATTTTTCGACAAAAATTCTATTTATTTTATAAATATGAGGAAAGTATTATTATTATTATTATTTTTTTTTTTTTTTTTTGTAAATTTTCTAACTAAAGAGGCATTTCGGCAAAAAATTTTCGTATGTATTTTCTTACGAGCCTATATTATAGCGATAAAAAGCCATTTAACACTTTGAGCTTTTACATAATAGAATTGTCTCTAAGCACACTTTTAAAAATAAACTTCAATTCTAACACAATCTTCTTACCTAATAAGATGATCTGAAAACGCCAAAAAGAAAATAAAAAGAATATTCTGGTTTCAAATAGAAGAAAGAAAAAAACTTGCGAGAAACTAAGAAAAAAAAAAAATTTTTTCCTAAAACCAATCAGATTTTATTAAATTTTCAAAAAAAAAAGGAAAAACAATAAAAAAAATACCAAAAAAAAAAAGATTTTAAAAAACACTAAAATCAATTTTGAATTTGTGTTGAAAAAAAAGAACCTAATTTCTATAAACAATTTTAGAATTCAGGAACCTATTTAACAAGAGGGATTATAGAGAAATGTGGTCACAATATATTCTGCAATTGGAATTTTTTTTTCATATTAATTTGTTTTTACAAATATAAAAAAATTCGATGACAATTACAAAAATTTGTTCATCAACCACATTTTTTCTTCGATCTATTTTTTTTTTACGACAGTCAAATTGTTTTAAATGAATACAACACCTTTGTAAAAAATTATATAAAAATATTAACACTTGTACGAAACATGTATATAAAAAAAAATAGTAGAAAAAAAATATTTTTTGCCTTTTTATTACTATTTTTTGTTTTTTTATTACTATTGTCTTTTTATTATTATTATTTTATTATTATTATTATTATTTTTATTATTACTATTTTTATTATTACTATTTTTATTATAATTATTTAATTTTAATTATTTTAATTATTATTATTATTATTATTTAATTTTAATTTTTATTATTATTATTATTATCGACAATAATTTGATGTCTTCAGTGGAAGGCCGGAAATCCCACTTATAGATATATTGGAACTTGAAAAAGTTGAATTTATAATAAAACCATCAAGATAAAATCTTGATTTGCAGTTGCTTCTCCACATTCTTCGCGAGATGAGAAACTGCAGTGTGCGTGAAATAAAAAGCTCAAGAAAACAAACAATCAGCAAGTGTCTCATTTTTTATATCTCTCTTTTTTTCTATATATATATATATATATATACACGGAGAAAAAAGATTTCTTTTATAAAGTAACTTTTACTACTTTCAGAGTAAAACTGGACCAACTCGAAGTTTCTGCGCATCTCTGGCAATTTTTACTCCAAAAATAGTAAAATTTACTCTAGAAATAGTAAAACTTACTACGGAAACAGTAAAATTTACTACAGAAATAATAAATTTTACTATTTTTGGAGTAAAAATTGCCAGAGATGCGCAGAAACTTCGAGTTGGTCCAGTTTTACTCTGAAAGTAGTAAAAATTACTTTTTCTTTTTCTCCGTGTAGAAAAAAGAGCATGCAGAGTATCTTCAAAAAAAAATTTTTTTTTTTTTTACCAAAAAAAGAAAATCAGTACAAGTGTTAAAAAATACAATTTCTATTTAGAAAAAAAAAAAGATCAACTATCCCTTATTTATAATATTTAAAAAATGCTCTCTAAATCTTCACGATGAAAGCTGCAAATTTTAGAAAAATTGTCAAATATCGAGGGCTAATAGACGAATAATAATAATAATAATGGAAAGTGCGAATATGAAAAAGGTGGGGTGGGGGTGTGAAAGAGAACCAAGAAAAAAAACACTGAAAATAAGAATTTTTTTTTCTAAAAAAAAAAATTATTTTTTGAAAATAATGAAACGGTCTAAAAAGAAAAGAATTCCGTTCTTTCGATTATTTGTATCATAAAAAACAACAATGTATATATATATATATATATGTATATATGTAATTGTTGCATTCATTTCCTAACATGCTACACGACCAGCAGACAGGTGGTAGACAGCAATAATGCTTACGGCATTAGCTTAAGGTTCATGTGAATTGAGGAGTTTAAAATGCTCGCGCTGTATAACCCCACTAAGTATATATGTATATATATATAGTGTGACGCATGGGCAGGAAGTCGATTCATCATGCAATATATATATATATACACTGAGAAAAATGTTTAGTTAGAGAAACCAAAATTTGGTTGGGCCAATAAAAATTTTTTTTTTTGGTATTTAAGCAACCAAAATATTTGAGTCAACCAAAAAATTTGGTTGAGTGTTTTTTGTTGGCATAATAAAAAAATATTTGGTTAGCCCAATCAAATTTTTTTTTGTTAGGTCAACAAAAATGTTTGGTTGAACAAACAGTTTTTTTTTTGTAAAATTTTATTCTACCTTATCTCTTTTCTTTTTATCTTTTTTTATTTATTTCATTATTTATTTATTATCAATTTAACATTGAATTTATATTTATCCAATTGAAATTTTTTGAGGACTTTGAAAAATCTCATCTCTGCCTGGGATCGAACCTCTATTTTAAAACTGAAAGTCGGGAGCTCTAACCACTGGACTATCCATACTTGTGAGAGATTTAAACTAACTGTTCTCTTAAGCTGTGAGCTGAGAGCGAATCAAATTATTTGGTTGTCGCAACCAAATTTTGGTTAGGACAACAAACGATCATTATTGGTTTTTTAGACCAAAACTATTTTGTTGTGTTAACCAAATTATTTTGTTGAAACCAAATTTTGGTTGGAATTTAAAAATGTTCAACCCAATTATTTTGTTGTAGAAACCAAATTTTGGTTGGAATTTAAAAATGTTCAACCAAATAATTTTGTTGGCCTAACCAAATGTTCTCTCTAAATCTGAATTAGTAAAAATTATTACTAATTTAAATTAGTGACTCACTTTCTACTTTAGAATTAGTTAAATTTTACTAATTGTTTGAAAAAATTACTAATAATTAGTAAAATTTTACCAATTGAGAAGCAAAAAGTGAGTCACTAATTTAAATTAGTAAACATTTTTACTAATTCAGATTTAGAGAGTTTGGTTGAGATAACCCCACGACTTTGTTTCAGCCAACCAAAATTTGACTAGAAGAACCAAAATTGCTTAATCAAACAATTTTGTTGCAAACACTAAATTTTTTTTCTCAGTGTAATGTGTACATATATATATAAAAATATGGGTATATTTATATATATATATATTTTTTTTTAAAAAACAACCAAAAAAAAAATTTATGTGTAAGGAAGAAATAGTGCACACGTTAACCAGGAAAGGTAGTAAAAATCGAACAAAAACTAAATTCAAAAAGGATTTATCTTTTATATGGCTTCTATGTATGTCATTAGTTATAGACCCATACCACTATGCAGAAAAAAGTGGAGACGAGAGGAGGCTCATCGATACACACGCCTGCTATAAAACTGGAAAAAGGAAATTTTATTTACTTCACTTATAATACTAGAACCGAATTACACAATTTTTTTTTTTTTTTTTATCTAATCTTGCAGGGGGACATTTTTTTTACTATATATCGAATTATTACTCGAAAAAGTTTGATTAGTAAAATTAATTTAATTTTCAAATAATTTTTTAATTCGAAATAAATTTCGTAATTTTTTTCTTTTTAATATAGAAACGCCCACATCTATTCATTGGTCCTCTCGTGACCTTGGGGATATGTACCAATGAGAATGAAGGTGCACCCAATGAGGGCGTTTCTATATTCATAAGTGCAAATTGTTTTTTCTTTTTTATAAAAATACAAACTTTTTCAAAAGTAACATGCTTATAATTAGATGAAGAATGAAATCGAAAAGCGCTAATTGAAAAAAAAAAACAACTAAAAATGCATTGGAGAAAAAAAAATATGCGCAATTTCTCAGACATACAAATATATATCTTATAACATCTTGTCAACGATTATACAAAAAAAAAAAAAAAAGTATACAATTGACGTCGATACGAAACTATATATATATATATCAATTTGAATAACTGAAAATGCAAGAGAAAGATATTACGGGAAATATGCAATTAAAGTTTAGTGATGAACATTTCGTACTTTAATCAGAGGCTGGACAAAGGAAGCGCGAGAGCCAACTTTTATGCTCGTGATTGTGACTTTGATGTTAAAACTTTATCCATATTGGAAGTGTATAACGGATTTATCTGCGAATCCTTATCGAACTATAATATTCCATGAATATTTTATATTGCACAATAAATGAATTTCAAAAAAAAAATTCTGATATTTTTTCTAGAAATCAATTTTTATTATATTCGATTTTTTCTAATGATTTTTGTAAAATAAAACTAAAATAATTTTTGATGCATCGTAATTTTATCGCGCGTCAATATTATTTAGAGCGTGTTATCTGACTTAGAAATACAAATAGAAAATGTGAATTCAAAATGTATATTTGAAATTTACTTTTCCTTCTGTTTTTCATATATATATATTCCATGTGTTTAATTGCTGACAATCGAAATAGAGTATTTTAAATACATTACTTATTTGATTTCGAATGTTTGAATAACAATACAAAAGAGGGAAATCAAAGCCCAGTGCGTATTCAGCAAAATGAGAATTATTAGCAAAGTTTAAACTATATTATAATAATAATCTTTCAATGTTAATTATAATTCCAAATTATTTATCGAATACGAATATTAATAATTGATAATTAAAAAAATTCTCTGAATTATTATTTTTGAATACAAAAAAAAATGTAAAAGTTCATATTTCATATGGACGGGAGAATTGTTTTTTTTTCAATTTTCAACGATAAATAGCTAAAGTTGGTTTCTACTCTCCATGTTGCGAGGGAGAACTGATATGGCTAATAATATAGCGAGAAATGTGTTTTTTTTGAAACAAACAATATTTATAAACTGCTCCAATTGACAAGGAAAAATCTTAAAAGAATACAAATGGAAAATAATAGAAAATTTTTTTTTTCAAAAATTGAAAATAAATCTCAAAGCCTAAAACAAAATATATAAAAAAGAAAAACGCAAAATCTTTTTTTTCCACGACCATCAGACAATGAAGAAGCGATAGCAAGTTTTAAAAATAACAGGAAACTAACAGCCGAACAGAGTGTCTTAATTAAAAAACCACACACGCACAAAGAAAACAGAAAAAAAAAAACACGTACCATTAAAACCAAAGAATTTCTATTTCCGTATGATGACGGTCTCAAAGTCGAATTTGTGTTTTTTTTTTTTTTTTGCTTTTTTTTTTAATAATTGGAATATGGTTTTTCACTGTGGAGGATTTTTTGAAAAAAAAAAAAAAATTCCACGCTTGGATTATGGAGAGGGAGGAGTTGCCTACGAAGCAAAATTCTGTATCTCCGAAATGAGGCCTTTGAAATTTACAAGCCGAAACCGGTTGTGATACTTAAAAAAATCAAACCTCAACCGTTTCCTTTCTTTCACTTTCAACCGAGGTAAACAAAATCGCAAAAAAATATACCCGACCCTTCCCCTTCCTACATAACTCGAATTTCTCTCTCTCTCTCTCTTTTTTTTCTCTCTCTCTCAACACTGCGAAAAACACACTCGGAAAGCACAAAATCGAAACAATGCTCTAACAAGAAATTTCACAATAAAGAATTTTTTTTTTTCGAATAATATAAATACGAAAATAAATGAAATGCGGACTAATGAATTTTAATCAAATATTAAATAAATGAATTAATGAATCTTAATTTATAACACGAATTTCTTTTTTTTTTTTTTAAATAAATATATCGATTTTAAATAAATTTCACCAATATATTAAATAACGAATAAATAAATTTTAGATATATAATAAAAATGAATAATAAAACGAATAATAAATGAGCCAAAAGTTTTGAACGTTCAAATAAAGGAAATATTTTTTTTTCAATCTATAAATTATTAAAAATTATGATGGCTATGTAAAATAAAACAATTATTAAATAAATAACTCCGTTTTACATATTTAAAACAATATTTTACAATAAAATTCGTAGAATAAAGAAGTTGCAAAACAAAAAATTTCGTTCATTTGAACGTTCAAAACTTTTGGCTCATACGAAGCTGAAGTACGCAACGTTTATGATAAATGATTTTTAAAGAAATAATTTTTTAATATGAAAAATTCTATAATTTTTCATCTAAAATATATTTATTGTTGTTTTTATTAATCAACAAATTATAAAAAAAATATTTTTTAGACAAAAAATTATAGAATTTTTCATTTTAAAAAATTATTTCTTTAAAAATCGTTTATCATAAACGTTGCGTACTTCAGCTTCGTTGGCTCATAATAATAAATGAAAACTGAATAATAATAATGTTTCTATTTTATTTAAAAAAAAATTTAAAAAAAGTTTTTTAATGTCAAAAATCTAGGTCATGTTTTTTTCTCTAAATTTTTTCAATCGTGAATCTTTAATAGCAAAAGATCATTACATAAACGCAAATAAAAAAAATTAATAAAATAGAAAATTTATTTTAAATGATAAACATGTCAGAATAAAAAAATAAATTTCCAATTGCTAATAATAATAATAATATGAAAATGTTCCATAACAATTTTTTAATGGCCAATAATAATTGCAGGTTAAATTAATGTACACGTCGCACTGCGGCATTAGAGGGGACACAAACACCAAATGAAATTCTCGAAAATGGTCTCTCCACCATCATCACCACGACACATACGATAAACATACTTCGAAAAGAAGGCGGTGACGCACCGATTATTTTAGATAATTATTATTATAAAAATTTTTTCATTTTTTTTATTTTCCCTTTCGCAGAAATTGACGGGAGACAACAATTTCATGTACATGAGTAAGAAATGAATAGGGGAATGTATATATGACGAATTACACACGAGATGATGATGATGATGATGATGATTATGATGAGAGGGCAAAAGAGAGATGTGCAGCACTCCAAGTTGACATGTAAACCGTAGTCGACAAAAAGAGGGAAAGAGAGAGAGAGAGAGATTGTCCCTCTCTTGATTTCCTTCCCGCCCTTTCCTCTCTCTCTCTCTCTCTCTCTTTTTCTCTCTCCGTCACTCTCTCTCTCTCTCTCTCATGTGGGTACCACACGTGTGATTTCACGCACATTGTCAAATAAAGGCGCGAGGATCATTCTTTTCAGAAAAATTAAGACACAAATCTCATGGATCATGCGGTTGAAAAAAAAAACACGAAATTTTTATCCTTAAAAAAAAATGTTGGACAAGAATTTTGGAAGGGAGGGGCAGAGAGAAAGAGAGAGAAACGAAAAAAAATATTTTCGGTACTCACGTTTTATAAAATTTTTTTTTTGCCAATAAAAGCACTGCTTTTTTTTTTATTTTTCTCGTTTGGATGACGCTCACTCACGCACGAGGTTTTTTTTTTATCACACACACACACAATCTTTCTCTCCTATATATATTATTCGGCGTGGTTGCAGTCTCCGTTTTAATGAAATAATACCGGCGTCGTTCCAGTGTTCCATAGAGGAGTAATTTTCATCAACAAAAATCCGCCAAACAAACAGGCAACACCGGCACAGCCACGGCGCGTCATTTATAATAAAAAAAAAAAGACGCTTATCTGAACAACAATAACAAAAAAACAGTGTGTGTGTGTATATGTGTGTGAGACTCACGGCGCAAAAAAAAGGCGCACACTCACTGTTAACTTGAATTACACTGTGTCTTTTTATTATTGAAATAATAATAATAATAATAAAAATACAAAAACACAAATTAAAAAATTCGCGGCGTTCGATTAAATTTTTTTCTAAAAAAATGCCGGATTAACAGCGTGGAGCGAAAGGTTCGCGGCCCTAAGTTGTTCTGTCGACGTTTAAGAACAGAAAAGAGAACAAACAAGAGCGCGCGCGCAAGCGTGAGAGTGAGAGAGAAGTAGTTATAAGAAGCGTTAACGGTGGGGAATGCTTCATAGTAGTAGTAGTAGTAGTGTAGTAGTAGAAGGAGACGGGGAGGGGAATCACAGGGGATGGTGAGAAGGAAGGGGCGGTTTTTCGCAGGAGCGTCATTTTAAAAGGTATTTTTGAACCCGTCAAAAAAAAAAAATCGATTTTTCAAGAACAATCATATTTCGAACCTGACGATTAAGATAACAAAATTTCACTTACACCTTTAATTAAACGATTTTGAAAAATATTTTTCAAAAAAAAGACAACAATTGGCAAAAATTGAATAAATTAATAATCCGTATTAAAATTCAAATCATTTTTCACTGACTCATCAAAAAAAAAATTACAACTAAAATATTAACAGCAAACACGTACTGAAAATTTTCTATCGTATTTTAATTCCGCTTTATATATCAATGAAAAACGAAGTGAAATTTTCAATAACTTATTCATTATTAAACGATTCAAATTATAATTGAATCACATCAGAGAAAATAGTTAATTT